TTGTGTTGCAACGAGCTATCCATCTAGCCAACATTTATGTGGAACACACGCTTAACTGGACATGGCGCTAGGGGCTGGAGACCAAGGCAATGGTCTCCACCCTCAGGGAGCTCGTGAGGAGACAGACTGCAAATCAAAATTAGGCAGTAAAATTAAGTTAAAAAGTCAAGAAGAGTCGATGCTGGTCCTTTGGTTCTAGAAGTAAGAATAGAGGTTGCCTCTGATGGTGGGGTAGGTGGGGGCTGGCTGGAAGGAGCATGAAGGTAATTTCTTTGAAAATGAGCAGTACCAAAAAAAAGAAAAAGAAAAAGAAAAAGAGAGAGAGAGAGAAAGAAAAAGAAAAAAAAAGAAAATGAGCAGTACAGAGAGGAGAGGGACCTTTAGGCCAAGAGAACCTCACACTCGGGGCTTTGTAGGTGCAAGGCAGTGTGGAACTGGGGAAACCTGCCAACTGCTGAGTTTGGCTGGGTGTTAGGGTGTGAGATGGAGGATGTGATATCAGGTGGTCAGAGCCTTCCATTCCACGCAGAGGAGTCTAGACATGCTCCTACAAGCCGTGAGTACCACTGACACGTTTCGGCCCCCTCCCCAAGGGGCTGAGACTGCCCTGCCTTGGATGCTAGGGATCCATTGGGCTCGTTGGGGGAAAGAAAAGCAGGCCTCCCAAATTTCCATTCCCCCAGAGCTCCTCCCAGACAAGGAAGAGGAAGAAGGAAGAGACTGGGAGAAGAATAAAACAGCCATCCAAGTGAGCTGTCCCCAGTGATCTGAAGGATGGCTGGGGAAAAACAATTGTTTGCTGTATCCAGGCTGAGCTCCTGCAACTCCTCACCCCCCGCCCCCGCTGCCCACGAGAGGAGGGTGCACCCCCCGTAGTTTTGGCCATGACCCTCCAGGACGATGGCCCCTCTTTCACATCTTCAGAGGCTCTCTCTCTCTCTCTCTCCTGACTCAGCTGCCTCACGATGTGTGCTGCTTCTGCTGTTTTTATGCTTCTACCAAACAGTTGACATCCAGTTGTGCATCCTACATGCTTGAGAGCCTCTGCTGTATATAGGGGATTCCTAAATCTTTCCGCACTGCCAAACTACAACTGGCTTTTCTTAGCTCTTTCCTCCCACTTGGAGCCTGCTCCTTCCTACATGTTCGGAGGGTTCTGGCTGTATTCCATCCTGGTCAAACCCCACTCACTCCTCTTTCAATACTGCAGACCCTCCCTGAACTCTCCCCTTCCTGGACTTCTCTAGCAAGGACTGTCCATAACTTCCTTTCACCTCTCCTTCTCTGCTATGCTAGTTCCATTTTCTCAGGGAGAAAAGAAGAAGAATGTCGTTAAACTCAGCGAAGAGTCTAAAAGCTGTGCAATTTCCCCACCAGTGAGGGAACACAATAAATTCTTAATATTTTTTGGTAGATCGATGATTGAATTGGGAACATCCAGACCCCTGTGGAGATGGTTTGTGCCAAATCAGAAGTCAAGAAAGGGAATCCATTTCCCCTGACCACTTCCAGCAGGTAAAGTTCCTCTGTGGACTTCTGCTGAGGAGGGAGCATGGTGCTGGGGCGGTGGTGTGGGGAGGCAGAGGAGAAGAGGCAAGTGGAAGACCCTGGGCTGGGACAGCCTGGGGTATTTAATCCTGAACCCAGATGGCCCAGGCTGCGGAACCCTGTCCCCACACCCTCCATGAAAGACAGCACAGCTGTATGGCCAGTGCTGGGAAAAAAAAAAAAATGAGGTCAGGTTCATGTCAAAGCCAGTGCACAGGTGGGCTCAATTTGCTGGATTTACAGCAACTGTCGAGTCATTACTGAAATTGCAGGCATGAACCAGCCTACCTGCTGGGAAGAGAATTTGGGATACATTGTGAACTTCAAAAAGTTTCTGCCTGGAAACTGAAGAGGTAACCATGGCAACCGGGAGGCAGGTTGAACTCAGAAAGGCTCTTCCTCTTGAGCCCTGGCCTTTGTGCTCTTGGACTGGATTTGCCCAGACTGCACGCACCGCTTTGTCTCTCTTGCCTCTTTTGCTTTCTTTGTCAAGTAGGAGAAAGCGCCAGCTCAGGAATCTGGAGAGCTGGCCACGTTTCAGCTGCTTCCAGATCCAGGGCACTTAAGTGAGGGCACCTTAGGCACTGGTTGTTTTGCTGTCTGCAAAATGGAAATTAAAAGGCTCCTCTGGCCTATTCACAGGGATGTAGACAGAACAGGAAGGTTTAGGGAGATTCTGTGCATAATCGCCATTATTGTTGTTATGTGGCTACATCTGGGCTGATTCCAACATGGTGCTACTGAGGGCAAGACCTGGCATTCAATCCATCCATAAACTTGTTTTCGTTGCCTGAAGAAAAACTGTCGCAGATACCACCCACATCCCCACCTGGCAGCTGCATAATACAATCTCGTACTGGAGCCTGAGCAGCACGGGTGAAACATCAGGCCTCACCTCAACTGACCAACTCCTCCAGCAGAATGTCCTGCTGCTGATGGGGGGGTGGGGGTGGGCTGCTTCCTTGGCTGGATGGAGGATTGGGCTGAGAAACACAGATGTTCAAAAGGCATCCTTCCATTGCCTGGCTGCACATCAGAACCCTCAGCCCTCTCCATGCGCCCACTAAAACTCAGCTTTGCACTTGTGAGAAAGGAAGAGCCCGTGATGGAGGTGAAGGTGGGCTGCTGGCATCTGAAGATGGTGCTGCCAATGTGTGAGCTGCTCCACACCTGCCTCTGTCTACTAACCCCCAGGGAGAGTGGGGAAGGATTTGACTACACTCTTCAAAGTGCATTATGTTTTGACTAACTGGGTCATCTTCTGTAGGCCCTGGCTTAACAGGAGGATCTGCTTTGACAGATGACCCCCCCCACCCCCCGCCCTTGTTGTTCTGATTTGGGCCTCTTTTGCTCAACTGCTATCTGCAGGATTTCCTGTTCTCTCCCCCTTTGTAGTTTTATTTATTTTATTTTTAATTTTTAAAAAGACTTTACTTATTTATTCATGATAGACACACACACACACAGACTCAGAGAGAGAGAGAGGCAGAGACACAGGCAGAGGGAGAAGCAGGCTCCATGCACCGGGAGCCTGACATGGGAACGGATCCCAGGACCCCAGGATCATGACCTGAGCTGGAGGCAGATGTTCAACCACTGAGCCACCCAGGTGTCCCTCCCCGCTTTGTGGTTTTAACTTTTCCTTCCTTGACCAGCTTTTCTGGGCTGTCTCACCCAGCTCCTCAGGTAGGGACCTTTTCTCCTCTTGTCTCTCTCTTCCTCCCCTGACCCTTTATTTCTAGGCCTTGCTGAAGAATGGCACCTCTTAGATAGCCCTCATGAACTGAAAACTTCAATTCCAAAAGACCCAAAAACCATATCGTGTTTCCTTATTGTCTAGCAATTCCCATTTCCCCAGTCAATAAACCCAAGAGCTAACATTTATTGAGCGCTAATTATGTGTTGAGCACTGACCTCAGCACCTTGTTGACACACCACCACCAACCCCTGTTTGGGACCTATGCCCTCATCCTCAGCCTGTTGCCTGCTGTAGGCTGCCAGCACAGCCCCTTTGACCTTAACAGGGGACTTGCCTTGCTTAAATTTAAGTCATGTTCTTGGGGCAGCCACATCCAGTGAGTGCTCATTGTGGGGTACAAACGCCTGCCCCCTTGCTTCAATGAGGGCAGGCCCAGGGCCAACTGCGCTGTCTAGTTGCAGCAAACATGACACCTAATGCCTCCTTCTGCCCAGCCCTGTTTCCCCCACTCCCTTTCTGGTCTGAGAACTCTCCCCAGCAAGGCTACCTCAAAGGTACTGTTTCCTGCCTCCTGGGGGAACTCAGACTAAGAACTTACGCAGTCTTCACATCTTTGAGAAATAGGTGCATCCTATTTTCATCTTAGAAATAAGGAAAGTGAGGCACAGAAAAGTTAAGAAGCTGCCCTAAGGTCTCCCATCAGTACGTGGTGAAGCCATGATGTGAAACCTGGAAATCCAGCTCTGGATTCCACACTGCAAACCTCACAGCAGCCTCATTAAATAGCAATCCCAAGGGGGAACGGAGGAGCCACGGTGGGAGGGGAGGGCTGCTGTGAGGCCTTTGTGGGAAGGCTGGGACAGAGGGAGGGCATTTATTACCTGGACTTCAGAGATAAGACACCGAACTAGCTGCTGCTTGAACCCAGGATCATTCATCAGCTTACAGAGGTGCTGGGATTCTAATTTTGGCTGGGAGGGCAGTGGAAAAAGCGTGGCAAATTCGTATTTGAATGCTGGCATAACACTAATCCTGAAACGCTGAGCAAATCTTTTACCTCGCTCGTCCTAACTCAGTAAAAACGCCTGGCACACCGATGCTCCATGAAGAGCGCTCCCCCCCCCCCCCCCGCCCCGGCCGTTTGTCTGCCAGCCCCAACCCTCTGATCTTGCGCAAGTCCCTTTAACTGGGACTGACTCAGTTTCTTTATCTGTGAAACAGGTGATGAGATGAGGAGCTGCGGTAAAGGGCTGACTTGGCCCCCTTGACCGACCGCTCGGGGAGGAGCACAGCAAACGGGGGTTATCAGGGTCATCGTGGCGTCGTCTTGCGGGGCTTGCAGCCCTGGCCGCCGTCGGTCAAGACGGAGCAGGTTCAGGCGCAGGCAGGGCGAGATCCGCGCGGTGTGCGCATCCCCAACGCGCTCCCCCCCCCCCCCCCGCAGATCCGCCGGCTACCGCGGAGTCGGCTTTCGGCTTTTACGAGAGCCTCCGGGTTTTTTTCCGACTGAGCCGAGTGGGCGCTTCTCGGGCCGTGTGACTTCCCGCCGCTCCTCGCTCCGCAGCCCGCTCAGCCGCGGGGAGCCGCAGCCGCGTGCGCCGCGCCACGGGCCCCTGCGGACGCCCCGCCCCTCGAGCGCCCGGCCCCGCCCCCACCGCCCTCCGATTGGTCGGCGGCGCTCGGCCCCGCCCCGCTCCCTCCGAGGGAATAAAAGCCGTGGTAGGCGCGAGTGGACCAGAGCAGCCCCGCCAGGCTAGGGCTCGCCGCGTGCTGTGCCGCCGCCGCCCCTGCCCTCCTGCCGCCCGGCGTCCGCGGAGGTTCGTGGTGACCGCTGGAGCCCGTCACCATCCTCTCCACGACGTGCTGCCCCGAACCCGCAGCCATGTGCCGCACCCTGGCCGCCTTCCCCACCACCTGCCTGGAGAGGTAAGAGGAGCTCGTCCCCGGAGCTTGCCGGCCGCCCGCAGGAAGGCCAGGTCCCGCCAGTCCCTCGGGAGTGGGGCGGACGGGCTCCGGGGGGACTCGAGCGACCTGAGTAGAGAAGCAGAGGCTCCACATTCCCTGAGGCTTCCCTTAGAGTCTTAGAGGAGCGACGGGCCAAGAGAAGGGAGAAGGGAAGGCAGCGGGAAGCAGAGGAGTCACCGTGGACTGTCATTCCCCATCCTCTGACAAGTGGCAGTCCTCAGGTGACCTGCTGAAGACCCGCTGCAGGAAGAGCACGTTGGCATCGGCGGGCAGAGTTCCCTTTTCTAGTTTCCTAAGCGCTTTTCAGTCTACAGCCCAGACCTGGGAGCATGCCCCTCGCGGGGCCCTGAGAAGGCAGGGAGGGGTTTTTGGGGGGTCCACCCGTGAGGGATGTGCCCACTCCCCAGGGAGCTACTCAACCACCTCTAGTCCTTGCTGGAGCTGATGGCTGGGAAGGAAAAGGCGAAGAAGGTGGAAGCAGGAATCAATTTCCACACAGTTTGAGAAATATTCAGGACAAGTCTAGAGGGTGCCCACCGGCCTTCTGCTAATCAACAGGCACAAAGATAGATCAGTGTGCTTAAATGGGGGGGGGGGGGACCCGAGTGTGCTGTGCCCTGAACTCAGAAAGTGTAAGTCCTGCTGAAGAACAGCTGAAACATGACTTTCACTGTTAACAGACAAGCAAAGTTTAAGCCCTGGGAACAGCCGAAGTTTCCCAGGAACGCCTGAGGCTGGAATTAGGGTGGCACCAGCCCCAAACTCCTCAGGATCCCATAAACCTTTTTGCCCTGGCTGAGAAAATGTAGGATCCCTACATGTTCCTGCTTTGTCTTCCAGAGCCAAAGAGTTCAAGACACGACTGGGGATCTTTCTTCACAAATCAGAGCTGGGCTCAGATACTGGGAACGTTGGCAAGTTCGAGTGGAGCAGCAAACACAGCAGAGATGGGTAAGTCTTGCAAGCCAGCCTAGGGCCCTAGGGGGGAGGGAGCCAGATTTAGGAAAACAGCCACAAGAGAGAAAATACAAGGAGAAACTAGGACATGCAAGGGTGGGCCCTGGTGACCCCTTCCTGGAGATTTTGGTGAAGCTTCCTGCTGGTCTGCTATGAGTGACTGGGTAGGTGGCTCCAGGGTTCTGAGGCCACCAACAGCTGTGTGTACCCAAGGTGGGAATGTCCAGTTACCAGACTCTCCCACCTGGAGACGTCATTGTCCATGCAACCAAGTCTAGGACGGGGTCTAAGAACACTTGAGGCTTTTCGGTCAGTGATTCTGCTTCCATTAGCATGCACTTTGGCTATAAGCCCTTTCATAATTAACATTAGTGGTGCCAGGTGCTGCTGTAGGCTCTGGGGTTATGACTAGACTTAACCTCTATTCCATGAAGCCCTTACTTCCTGGGCGAAGTGTAGAAAACAAAGCTCAGAGTCAGAGGAATAGAAATGATTTTTGACAATGAAGTCTGGGAGTTATTTACTGAGGGCCAGAAGGTCCCTGGCTTTGGTTTCTCATTACTGAATTGTCCTCCAGAAAAATACCTGCGGCCTCAACTAAGGGTTCGAGAAGTTGGTTCCAATAATCACTCAGCAAATCTCTGTGTGAACATACAACCCCCATCAGAGTTCTAGGATTTATTCTATGCATTAGTATGTTTGGTTTTTAAAATTAAAATCTTGCTATTTGTTTATTTATTATATATATATATATATATTTTTTTAGCAGAAACTTCTCAGAAGATGTGCTGGGGTGGAAAGAGTCCTTTGACTCGCTACTGAGCAGTAAAAGTGAGTAGGACCCCGTTGTGTCTGTCTGCGGATGGCACATGTGTACCCATGTGCTTTGGAGCCAGCCTGAGGGATTCTGAAAAGCGTGGGCAAAATAATAGTCGTAGTAATAATAATAATGATCCCCTAGTGTGCCAGCCTCTGTTCAGAATACAAAGGCAGGTCCTTGTTCAAGAAAATTACATCCTAAAAATAGAACCATTAACTACAATTGCTGTCTTTCTTCTTTTATTCCCCGCTGTCCTGCTATCTGACCTGTTTCTCCCTCTCTCCCCTCAACCCCAGATGGAGTGGCTGCCTTCCACGCTTTCCTGAAGACAGAGTTCAGTGAGGAAAACTTGGAGTTCTGGCTGGCCTGTGAAGAGTTTAAGAAGCTCCGATCTGCTGCCAAGCTGGCCTCCCGGGCTCACAAGATCTTTGAGGAATTCATCCGCAGTGAAGCCCCTAAAGAGGTCAGAGCCTCAGCATGTTCTGTGGGTCCTCTAGACCCTGCCTGCCCTTTCCCCGCTGAGGATTGGGGATGGGGTGGTATCCAGCCGGGGCAGGGTTGAGCTGAGAGAGTGATCTTATTTGGCACAGGGGTGAATGGGCTTGTGTGGCCAGAGACTAGGAAAGCAGGCTCTCTGCCTCTCCTGGGTGCTATTCCCCTCAGACTCACTGATGGGGTTAGATGGCTGGGCAGGTGTTTTGGCTTCCCACTTTTGCCAACTAAGGCCTTTTTAGAGGCTCAAAACACATGAGTGGGGAGACCAGTCAACCTGGAGACCTTGTGTGACCTGCCTCAGTCCGCTGGGTGACCTGCCTCAGGCTAGCTGGTCTGCGGGGCCCTGAATTTTTGCGCCTTCAGTCAGGTCTCTGCTGCCTGACACCAGCATTCGGTAAGGCGAGTGGGGCCACCTTGTGGAGAGAGAATAGCGATGCCTTGCTTTTGTACCATGCGTTGTATTGCATTTTCTGGGCACTTTGATTTTTTCCACGTTCTTCCACAAAGACTTACTGAGCACCAATTACATGCAAGAAACTGTTACAGTCATTAGGGACGTAGCAGGGACAAGAGGTCTCTTCCCCAAGGAGGGAAGATGACAATAACTGATTAAATGAATAAACACACGTCAGGTGATGGTACATGTCCTGATCCAAAGAAAGCAGGTTTTGAAAGGGAGCACCGGAGTAGGGGCAGGCTGTCCCACAGGGTGACAAATGAACAGATGCATAAGAGAAAGGAGAGAAGAACATTCCAACACAGGAAGTGGCAAGTGCAAAAGCCACCAGGCAGTGGGCTCCTGTGGAGCACGGAGAGGGAGGAAGGAAGGGTAGAAGATGAGGTCAGGCAGGTGGCCAGATGTGGGTCCGGCACGCGCTTTGGCTTTTCCTCTGAGTGATATCGGAGGACAACACTGCTGCTGGCAAGCTGACTTGAGGGCTTAGAAGGGCTCACCCTGGCCGCTGGCTGGAGGACAGACCGCAGGCCTGAGGGCCGAGGAGAGAGAGACCAGTTCGCAGGCTCTGGCATTGGCCTTAGGAGAGAGGCGATGGGGAACTGCACCAGGGAGGTCCAGAGGCGGGGACAAAAAGGTGTTAGATTTGTATACGTTCTTAATATCTCCTTGATAACTTTGAGAGATTGGAGGGCCGACACTGGATCTTCGGACAGGCCCAGAGCTGAAAAGCCAGTTAGTTAATGGTCAGCTCAGGAGACCGCAGCTTCCTGGTTCAGAATCGGCTATTCTTTCTCCTGCTGCACCTGCTGGTCAGGCCCCCCTTGGCTTTCTGGACCCTGTGCCTTGCCCACCCCTGACCCACCATGTGCTGGCCTTCCTTCCCACAGGTGAACATAGACCACGAGACCAGGGAGCTGACCGAGAAGAACCTGCAGGCTGCCATGGCTACATGCTTTGACGTGGCTCAGGGGAAGATCCGCACTCTGATGGAGAAGGACTCCTACCCGCGCTTCCTGAAGTCACCTGCCTACCGTGACCTGGCTGCCCAAGCGTCGGCCGCCTCTGCTTCCCAGTCCGGCTGCAGCCCAGCGGAGCCCTTACACACTTGAGCCTCCTGGCAGTGAGGGAGCCGGCCGGGAAGAGAGGTGGAGTCACCCATCCCTGAGGCAGATTCTACCGAGCGAGCCCGAGAGGACAGTGATGGAAAAAAGCCCATCCGGCAGCCTGGTTGGGAAGCACCTTCTCCTCCAGATACTGTGGGACTGGATTCCATGCAGGAGAGGGGCCCCCCACCCCCACCCACTTCCAGTGGGCATCCCAGTGGATAGGGGCTGAAGCTGAGGGTTGTCCGGGGCAAGGAAAAGTGGTGCAGGAGCCATCGCTGGCTCTTGTCATTCTCCCCGGGGCAGGACGTATTCAGGGTGGTTTGGGAAGCATGGAAAAGGGAACTTGAAAACGAGCCCAAGCAGGGCAACCAGATGGGCTCTTGGGGCTGGTGAGGAGCTGACTCGGGCCGCCTCCTGTATTCCTAGCTCCCGGCCGTCCCGGGGCCCAGAAGGCAGCTGCGGATGTGGTGCCTTCCCGCTCTGTCCTCCTCACCCACCTCTGGGCCGCCCGAGGCTCCCTTCGCTTGCACTTCTCCACATTCCTGTGTCCAGCCTCATGGTCTTCTCAAGGCCAGAGAACCAATTTGACGCTTGCCCAAAATGAGATTTTTTTTTTTAATACCTCAAAAACTGGCCATTTGAGCCCATTTCTGCATCAGTAGAGAGCCTGGAAATGGGCCATCTCGCTCCTGTGAAATTCATCCTGGTGCTCTTGGTGACCTTTGCAGGGGGTCCCTGACCCTGTGCTTGCAGCGAGGTCCACCTGTGAGCAGGGCCCGTGAGGGCCTGTTGCTGGGCCGTGCCCCCTCGGCTCCGGGCTGCCCTTGAACATAGAGCCCATGAGGAGGAAGGCGTGGGGCCCCTCGGTGAGTAGCTAGTCCAGCGCCTGTGCTCTGCAGTGTGGAGTGAGCGAGAAAAGGGTCATAAATCTCTTGGCAGTTCCCAAATGTTCCATTGAAATCAAGCCAGTCTTTTTGGTGGGCGTGAGAAGAGGGGAAAAAGAGATGCCCAGAGCGGAAGGGGAGCCTTCCATTTCTTTCCTGTGGATGTGAGGTGCACTTACTGGTTTCTCTGGGGGAAGTCAAGCCAGGGATTGTGATGACCCTTGGAAGACCTTAGGACCCTGGGGGTGCAGCTGGGGACAGAGACTGCTTGGAAGAGCCCCAAGACGATGATGATGATGATGATGATGAAGATGATGACGATGACGGGAATCCGAACCTGCTTGTCACCTCAGGGCAACACCAAATGCACGTTTTGTGGTGGGACTTCTGCAGGAGCCCAGGCCGGGAGGTGAATGAACCAGGCGGCCCCCTCATGCCCCAGGAAAAGCAACACTGTTCTCTCCGCACTATGAGGTCCTCTGGGAGAAAATTATTTATAATGTGTTGTCGGTTTTGTGACAATTGTCATAGCATATTATTTTTATTACTGTTGTGTTGTTCCTGTTATTTATTATCGTAATTTCAGTTTGCCTCTGCTGGAGAATCTCAGCAGGAGCTGGCAGCCTGACTGTCTCCCTCTCCACCAGACTCTACCTCTGAACGTGCTGGGAACCTCTTAGCACCTGTCAGGGACCCCTCACTGTTTAAATATTTATTTATTATTGACAATGGAGCTGGTTTCCTCGATAGGAATGATGTACTCAATCCTTGTTTCCCTGTTTCAGCATGTTATATATTCTTGTAAAATAAAAATGAAACGCAAATATGAGATCCTGTCTGCAAGGGCCGTGTGGTCAGGGAGAGGGAAGAGGAAAGGCCATGGAGAGCCTCGTGGGGGAGCTGGCCTCCGGAGATCCCTCCCCACACATGGGAGAGCTCTCGTGTCACAGTCAGAGGTACAAGTGAAAGGCCTATGTTTGCCTGGTGCCTGGGTAGAATTGACGAGAAGGGGATAGGTGCTGAGGGTGGCCACCAAGACTGGCAACTTCCTTTAGCTGATGATGGCCTCAACTTGTGTCTGGCTGTTGTGTCAAATGGACCCAGTCAGCCTGGGTCTGAGAGCCCATGTCCTTCTCCCACAGCGAACTGTGGAAGAAGCACAAGGGGAGACCCCCTTGGCTGAGTTGCCTCAGGTGGTCAGTTAGATGGTGGCTTTGGGGGCATGTTCACTTTTGTCCATTTTTAAGTTGCATTAGAATTTCGTATGAACTCAAGAGTATTTTTTCAAATAATTTCGTAGAAGTCTCTGGGATGAGCTACGGGAAGCCAGTCTGTACGTGAGGCTGCTCCATTCCATGGGCTGAGGGAGCAAGAGGGTTGAGCTGGGCTTGAAGGAATCTGGGGGTAGGTTTGCAAGGATCATAACTGCTCTTCCTTTGCCAATAGCCTATTCTTTCTTATCCTAATCCTCTTCCCTCCCTGCCCCCTGCTCACCCTCCCCAGTTACCACTATTTAAAAGTTTCTTCTCTAGTGAATTATCCATACTCTCTGGTGCATTGACTTGGATGTGGATGATATCTATTGAAAATGTGGGACGGGGTGAGCTCAGGGTCCTCCTACTGCCATCTTCTCCAGCACTTTTCTTGGATTATCTGTTTGTCCACAGATCTGGACCTTTTTTGGCTTTTATTTCTTCCCTAGTGTTAGTCTGAGTAAGTGACCAGACTCCAGGGATGCCAGGGAGGAAACCTGGTGGATTCGCACTCTAAGCCCAGGTATAAGGGACCAATGACTCTGTGGGCAACTCCAGGAGGGATTCAGAATTGAGGGACCTGAGGAAGAAGGTTGGATCAGAGGCTGTGGTAGGCCCTGATCTCATGGAGTCCTTTTACCAGCTCTGTGAGGTAGGTATGTTAGCCTGTGATACGGGAACTGAGGCTCGTGGGGCAAGGACCCTGCCCCGGGCAGCCGGCGGGAGAGAGCAGCTCTACAATCAGGGGTGTCCAGTGTGTAAAAGACTGGAGTGAGGAGATGATTAATGTGGCACTCAGGGAAGCCAAGAGGTATCCACACTGTCCTCTTTTCCTTTCTTTCTTTCCATCTTTTTTTGCCCTTTTACATGCATTTGAGTGTATCCCGTTTGGCAGAAAACCAAAAGCAGTAGCTGTACTTTCAACCGAAGATAACCTCATTTATTCAATAGTGGGTGAGGATTTTAAATACGGTTGGACAAGGGCACAATGTGCGTATTTGGAAGCAAATGTGGGCAGCGAGTAGGAAAAGGCAGGTGTAATCAGCAAGTGAGAGAGAAATGAATGGGGATGACGGACGTTCAGTGGCGGGAGTGTGTGCGGGCAGGCCCCACAGTCCAGTGAGACCATCCTCAAGGCTTGTCCTCATCCCCCTAATGCTCCCTCTCACATAAAAAGTGGCCTTCGCTTCCATGGTGTGGCTGAAGATGGTAGGTCCACGTAAGAAAGAAGAGCAGCTCTTTGTTGACCTTTACGTGTCCCAGGTGTCCGTTCAAAATACTTTCACGCTGTGACTGGCTAAGAGTTTATGTGATTTCCTGAAGATCAATCACACTGCTAGCCAGTGTCTCCAATATCTTTAGACTTTGGCTCAGCAGGCAAAGCATTTCCTAAGTAGGCTGTGGCTGGCCTCCCCGGCCTCTCTCCCTACTCTCTCCCAAGTCCCTTGAAAACAAATCTGTCCCAGTTCCTAGATTTGCTGTTACTGTTTCATGTTTCCTTACTTTCTCATCCTGGACCACCTTCCTGCTGTGTCCCCTTCTCTCATCATTGCTACCCTCCACCTCCTTAATCAGCTAGGGAGGCAACTTCCAAAGGCCAACTCAAGGATCTTTCTGGGGAAACTTCCCTGAGCCTTTGGGTCTGATTATGGATGCCTCTCCTTCCTGTAGCACTGCTGTTGATACTCACCCGAACTGGAGTACTTAGATCCCTGCTCTCTGCCTTTTTGCACCTGCTGGCAACCTCCTGGTACTAGGCGGGTCTCTTTCTCCCTGCAGGGCCTCCCATATAAGCATTCAGCAAATGGCTCTTGAGTTAATGATTAGATTTAAACCCAGCTGGAGAAAAGCTTAAATTACAACCTTCAGCTTCCTACCAAACCTTCCCTAGATGTCCCACAAGCTCTTCATAAATAACACATTCGAAACCAAGGTCATCATCATCCCTCACAGACAGGCACTGCCTCCCATTCCTCTAACCTGATAACACAGAAGTCCTGGCCACCCATGTTTGGGCTCATCTCTTGCACATGCCATCTTATCCAATTTTGCAAATGGGTTGAGTCCAGCATCTCCTCTCCAGGTTCACGGAGACTTCTTTAGAGGAGCATTTTGTCCTCTCCAGTCTGAGCTATAAAGACCACTTTCCAACTGGTCCACTCCTTCCCCCAGCTTCTCCCATTCATTTCCCACACCGCCTGTCATCTGAGCATCATCATAAAGGCCAGATCTGAGCACATCCTGGCTGCATTAAACCTCCTTCAGGGTTCCCCTCTGACCATAAGAGAAGGTCCAGATCTGACCATGGCATCTGAGGCTCACTGTGAGCTGACCCAAGTCCCTCTCTGACCTATCTCCTGCCTAGATGGCCTTCGCACACATGCTGTTCTCTCCGCTTGGAATGCTGGCTTCCTCTTCCTCTTTTTTTCTTTTTTTAAACTCGGGGTGGGGGTGGATAAGGAGAAGACTGCCTTCCTCTAAATTCAGCAAAAATAATCACCTCCTCAGTGAAACCTTCCCAGATGTCTACTGCACAGAGTTAATCTCTCCCACTTCTGTGATTCTAGGACACACTCTTTTTACTTTGTGGTCCATACTGCACAGCGCACTTCACGCTATTTCCTTCCCCTCGACTGGTCTCTTCAAGGTCACAAGCCATATTATTTACCGTGATAAGATGGGCAGAACAGATTGCAGCAAAGCAGTTCACAGCCCTGGCCTTAGGGTCAAAATTTTAGGATTGGAATCCTGGCTCATTCGCTGTATGACCTTGGGAAGTTATTATGGTAGTTCCCTCACCAGTAAAATCAAGATATAAGAGTGCACCTCTCATAGGGGATATTGAATGAAATGTTTGGCACAGTGTTATTGTCCCATACATATTAGTTACTATTATTATCGATTCCCAGTACTTAGCATAGTGCCTTGTACACAGTAGGCATCAGCCAGAAATCATTTATTGCCTTTTTGAATAGAATGGAAGGACCAGATTCTAAGTCTACATTTCTTTCAAGAATACTAGAGCTGTTTCATATTGTATATCATCTGATGTGCAGAGCATTACAGAATTTGGAGTGAGGGAATCGAAGGTTGAACCATTCATCAACTCCCTTAAATCCGGGTCAGCTAACGCTCCTTCCAAATCAGTGCTGTTGCTTCCAAGGGACTGTGGAAGCCCCCTCTCCCCACCGGCTGGTCCTTCACCCTCTGCTGCCTCTCTGTGGCCATATCAGGCAATGCAGACTTTTTCCTTGGTTGTTGCTTGACTTCTGCCCTTTTCCTTCGGCTCCTTCCTTTGGAATGATATCCAAGGGATATAATTTATAGTTTTGTTTACTAACGCATTTTAGTGAATATGTGAACGTTTACTCTAAATGAGAATAATTAGCATGACTGTTAAGACAACAAGTGGGTACAGGATTTAAAACAGTATTTCTTAAGTCAATAGGGCTAAATGAACTTTATAAACTGAAGCGGTTAGGTAAAGAGAGAAAGGTGCTCAGGGCGTATTAAGGGCTGATCTCAAGGTAATTCCCTTTCGCTGAAACTTTTAAATTGGTCCAGTTCTTCAAATCGCTTTAGGGAAGAAAAGAAAGATTTGAAATTTAAATAACAGAAGAGAGATCCCAAGGGTGAGGGATGTAATGCTGTTAGCTGCTAGATAATGGAGTTTGAATCTCCATCTAGAAAAGATACCTCTTGACTTACAGTGTGGGTGATTCCCAAGCTTTGGTCACCAATCTAGACAAGGATTTGGTTTAAACTTCAAGAAAAGCAACAATGTGTTGATTAGTCCTTTATTTGCAATAGGCCCCCACTTAAGGGAGAATTCTTTGCTGGAGAGTATCACTGTCCTAACTTATTGCATCTTGCCAGTTCAGAGAGGCAGTTTCACAGACAACGTAGATCCAGCTTTAGACAGCAGGCTCTGAATTCAGTCCCACTTCTGCTACTTGTTAGCCAAGTGATCTTCAGCACATTACTGGATTTCTCAGAGCCTCACTTTTCCCTGTTTTACCTGTAAACAACAATAGTACTGGTTTCATAGAGCTTTTGTGACGACACAATGAGAAAATTTATGGAAAATATTCAGCATAGTGCTCCACAGATAATAATCCACAAACTGTAGCTACTGATATGTGATAGGCACTATTCCAAGTGCTTCACATATATTCATCTCTGTAATCCTCACAATGTTCCCTTGAGGTAATGTGTATTATTACTTAATATCACCATATTGCAGATGTAGAAACCAAGGTCTGGAAGGTTTAAGTAAATTGCCCAAATTCAAAGAATTAGCCAGTGGCTATATTAGTTAGGTATTGCTACATGCTAAATCATTCCAAAACTCCGTGTCTTGAAATAATAAGCATTTATTATTGCTCATGAGTCTGTTGGTCAGCTAGATACTTCAGTTTATCTGGGCCAGGCTCAGCCAATCTCAACTGGCCTGTTTTTGTGTCTGTGATTCACTGGAGGGTTGGTGAGAATTGGCTGGTCTAGGATGGACTTAGTCATATATCTAAGGATTGGCTGGTTGTTGCCTTGGGCAATGGTGGTATCTGGGCCATGTGTCTCTCTTATTGCCCAGCAGGCTAATCCAGGCTTCTTCACATGGTGGCTGGGTCTCGAGAGAGTGAAAACATGCTTAGGTTTGGAACTGGTGTACTATTACTTTTGTCACATTCGACTGAGCCAACCAAGTCACCAGGGCAGCTCAGATCCAAAGAGGGAAGTAATGAGAGTATTTAATGAGATTAGGTATGAAGTTAAATTGCAAAGAGCATAAGTATCAGGAGGGTTGAAAAAATGTGGCTATTTTTTGTAATTATTCTATCGTGGTGGGAGAGTATGGATTTGAATCTAGGCAGTCCGGTTCCAGAGTCCTTGCTCTGAAGCATTCTGGAGACTTAATGCCTTGACATTTGCTAGCCAGAGTCTTGCCATTTCCTGCTCCTGCCCATGAGCACAGAATGCCCTGGCAACAGCCTTGATTCAAGTGCAAGTGCTAGAGTTTCTAGCTATGCCAACTGTTATGCCTGGTCTACCCTTCTTGCTGCTCCTTTGTTTATTCTTTTGGAACTCTGCTTTATGATCACTTGGGTCCAGCACATTCTTGTTGAAGAAGAGCTTCTCATCCGTAAAATGTTTATTCTCACTCTTAGCTAATCCTGTGGCCTTAGGATCTCGCAGTTTTCTCACTCTTAGAGCTAATCCTTGTGGCCTTAGGGATCTTTCTGGTCGAAAGAAGGGAACAGTGAGGACACTGTGTCCCAATATCTAACATGTGTGAAAAGGGGAAACCAAAGGGACAGAGAGGGGCATCCTTATATTTAGCCTTGGCCTAGGTTCCTCTGCATGTTTTCCAACTTGGTGTCTGCCCCCCCCCCCCCCCCCCCCCCCGCCCAAATTCTGTGCCTGCTTAACTCTGCTCTTGGTGGTGACTCCTTCTCCAGAGTCTGGAGCTCCGGACTCAGCCTCATGCCCGGGGGCCCTGTAGGCAGTGTGAAGTCTCCTCCTACCAGGACAGTTGTCACACTCTACATGTCTCTTGGGCCACTCCTCCTTGATTTTTCTGGTTCAAGATAGTCAGGAATTTGTCTCCCTAGCAACACTGTTTTGTGCCCAAGATTGCAAATCCGAGAAAACCACCAAGGAGCCGACACCGATGCAAGTACATGAGGGTTTATTAACAAGCTTGAGCTTGGGTCCAAGTACACCTGACATAACGGAGCAGGGACTTGGACCCTGAGGTGGGTTACAGCTGGGTTTTTATGGGCTGGTCTAGGGGTAAGGTGGGGTTTTTCAGTAAGGGTGTGGGAGTGAGAATCTCCAGTAAAGAGGTCTCACAAGCTCTTGCTTCCTTATTCCGATAAGGGCGTGCTTTTAATTTTGCCTGTAGCCGGGGTAAGGTAGAGTTCAGTACCCGGTCACAGTGGCCCGGTCACAGTGACCAGGTACTGAACTCTACCTTCAGATGGCTGCTGAAGCTACAATGGCTGTACTTGTGCCAATGTTAAACTTGAATGGCCCTAATTTTCATGGCCTCCACAACTGGATATTCCTTGAGGACAGGAATATTTCCCATTGTAGCATTCAGTACACAGTAGGCATCGCAGTGCTAGAATGGCAAGAACAGAACTTCTAGAGCAGGAAGGAGTCTTAAAAAAAACATATGACAAAAAAAAAAAAAACATATGAAACTCAGCATAGCAAAACCATCCGCCCCACCTGCTGCCACTCCCCAGAACTGCCACAGTGCTGGCTGCGGGACAGGGTCCCTCACTGTGAGCCCAGGGCCTTTCTGAGGAGGCCTCTGAACCTCCAGGACAGAGAGTTGAGACGGTTTGGTAGTGAGGGAGCTTGGGCTCTGGGTTGGTGTAGTTTCTGGGAGCTTCAGTTTCATCATCATCAGGATTGTTAGGGCTTAACTGGGGTCCTGTCACTTACAGAGCAATGGGCAGGGCGCCCCGCACACCGCAGGTGATGTCCCATAAATATTGATTAAGCACTCATTTGCCTCAAGAAGGCAGGAGCACTGGGTGTTACACTATGTTAGCAAATTGAATTTAAATAAAAATATATATTTTTTAAAGATTTATTTATTTATTTATTCATGATAGAGAGAGAGGCAGAGACACAGGCAGAGGGAGAAGCAGGCTCCATGCAGGGACCCTGACACGGGACTCGATCCCGGGACTCGATCCCAGGACCCCAGGACCGCGCCCCGGGCCAAAGGCGGGCGCTAAACCACTGAGGCACCCAGGGATCCCTAAATAAAATATTTTTTAAAAAGGAGGCGGCAGGGGATTTGGAATAACGTGGTCAAGATGACGCTGGAAGCTGCGGCCTGGAAGCCTAAAGGGCCAAACGTTCAGCTGGGTCTTGGCCATGGGATCGGCCCCTGCGGCCAGAGCTGAGGCCTCCCCGTCCTCCCAAGGGTTAACTGGGCCGTCAGCTCCGCCCCGCGGTCCTGCTCCCGGCGGCCGCTCGCTCTCCCAGCTCCTCCCGGCTCCTCCCGGCTCCTCCCCGGTCCTCCCGGCTCCTCCCGGCTCCTCCCCGCGGCCTCGGCGACCTCGGAGAGGAAGTGCTTTCGGGCTGGCGACAGTGTTGGGCGGCTGAATGCTCCCGAGGGGAGAGCGTCTGAGTGTAGAAGGTGAGAGGGGCACGAAGGGGAGAGCTGGGAGAGCTTGAGAAACCGCTCCCCCTGCGGGCTCCGGGGGGCTGCGGGCTCTGCAGAAGGAGGGGACCCGGGGGGGGCTCCGGGGGGCTGCAGGCGGGGGCTCCGGGGGGCTGGGGGCTCTGCAGAAGGAGGGGGCCCCGGGGGGCTGCAGGGGGGTCTCCGGGCTCTGCAGAAGGAGGGGGCCCGGGGGGCTGCGGGCTCTGCGGGCGGACGGGGTCTCTGGGGGGCTCCGGGCTCTGCAGAAGGAGGGGGCCCGGGGGGCTGCGGGCTCTGCGGGCGGACGGGGTCTCTGGGGGGCTCCGGGCTCTGCAGAAGGAGGGGGCCCGGGGGGCTGCGGGCTCTGCGGGCGGACGGGGTCTCTGGGGGGCTCCGGGCTCTGCAGAAGGAGAGGGGTCCGGGGGGCTGCAGGGGGAGCTGGGGACTCCGGGCTCTGCAGAGGGAGAGGGCTCCGGGGGGGCTACAGGCTCTGCGGGCTCTGCGGGCTGCGGGGGGCTGCGGGGCCGTCGGAGGGGCGGCGCGGCGCGGGTCCAAGCCCCCTGGCTTTGGCGGGTGCCGCTGCTCCCGGGGAGGAAACGAAACTGAAAACGGGCTTGTCCGCGGGCGGCTGTCGCTGCGCGGTGCCTCCGCTCGGGTGTGTTCCCTGGCGGCGTCTCGGACCTGCTTCCGGGCTCCGCCCCTCGCCCGAAGGCCGCGCGGCGCGTCCCGCCCCTGCAGCGGGAGCTCCTCCTCCGCGCGCTGGCCTCGGCGCGCTGCCCGCGGGGTGACTGCAGCCCCGGCTCTCGGAGGGCGGGGCCTGGGAGGCGGCGAGCGGCGCGGCGAGCGGCCCGGCGCGGGCGGACGGTGCTCCCGGGCTGTGTCGCAGGCGCGGGGGTACAGAGGCCAGGGACGGTTTGGGGCCCCGCAATGCCTGAATTGCGGCCCTGTTGCTGACATCTGGGGGGAACGCCGTTGCACTCAGCACCACCGGGCCCCCCCTTTGTGTAGAGTGTGTGTGTGTGCGCACAGGGATGGGGAGAGAAGGAATTGCTGAATTTTTTCAGGAGGGGGTATTAGTAAGTCTCTCATTTATTGAATGCCTAGTATTTGCCATGCTCTGCACGCATGACTGCATTTATTGTTGCCCCCTTTTGAGGGGAACAGAAACTTGAGAATAGCATCATGTGACACCATTAGGAAGTTAACAGTCTGAGGTTAAATGGCCAAGATTTCAAACTTAAAATCTTGTGAGATTGGAGGCTAAGCTCTTTCCATTGTTCTTATACTACTTTGAATAGAAGCGCATGTGCGGAAAGAAGGCGCACAGAGCCTGGGATGCCCTGGGAGGGATCAACTTTCCCATGTGTAAGAAATGCAAATTGACACAGAACACTTTTTTTTTTCTCCTGTAAATGAAGTTTTTTTTTTTTTTTTTTTTGAGAGACCATCTATTTCTAGTAAGAGTGTGTTTATATGACATCGGAAGAAATTTGTTAACATAGGTGGAGAATTTTTAAAACAATTATATCCTTTTGTTACTGGACAGAGAACCAGTTCCAAACTCAGGTTTGGTGGCTGGCTCCTCAAAAATCCGTATTCGAGAGGCAGGTGGTGGTGGGAAAGGAAAGGTTGCTTTATATAGGAAGCTGGCAACCTGGGAAGATGGCAAACTAACATCTCAAAGAGCATCTTCCCCATCCAGAGAGAGGGTTTTAACAGGGAAAGGTATGGCTGTTTGCAGGAGCGGCAGGGGCCCAGATAGTTGTCCTATGTCAATATGACCCTCAACAGGCATGTTGGATTACGTGGCAGCTGTATCTGATTGTAGTCAGGCCTTCTCTTCTGAGAAAATCTGGTCCTTCCCTCCTCAAGGCCGGTGGTCTCAAGGAAATCTCAAGGAAAGTAAGCAAGTTCTGCTACAGATCAAGAGACTTAGGTCAGCAAGCAAAGAGTAGATAAGCTTCAAGCAAATCAACATTTAAGACCTGTTGGCATGCTGTTACACTTTGACCAGTCATTCAATTCTTGGGAGTCTATCATAAGAAATGTATTATAACATTTAAAATAACAAAATAACCTTTAGAAAGCTGAATTTACTGCAACATTATTTAGAGTTGTTTGAAAATTCTAATTTTAAAAATCTTGTTTAAAAATTGTTTTTAAAAACTATTCAGTAATAGGGAAACAAAACAACTGACTGGTGGCATATTGCATAGCCATTAAAAGTGTTTTAAAAGACTTTGTGATAACATAGGAAATTATTTATGCTATAGCATTTAATGAAAGAAGGCAGGATATTTATACAGTATCCTTTACGTAGCATAATTTTAACTATTTTTTAAAAACTCATAGAAATATACTAAAATAGGGGCACCTGGGTGGTTCAGTTGGTTCGGAATCTGACTCTTGTTTTTGGTTTGGGTCATGATCTCAGGGTCATGAGCTCAAGCCCTGTGGTGGGCTCCATGCACAGTGCAGAGTCGGCTTGAGATTCCCTCTCCCTCTGCCCCTCCACCTGCTTGTACTTTCTCTCTCTCTAAATAAATACAAAACATTTTAAAAAGAAATATACAAAAATATTAACAATACCTGTTTCTGGGTGGTGGGACTAGAGGGTAATAATTTTCTTGTTTTTAATTTATATATGTTTATAATATTCTATAGCAAAAGTTCTATATAAATAAGTAGATATATTTTGAAAAAGTTACTAGTAAAATTAATTTTTCTAATTCAGATGCTTTCTCACTGTTATAAAATTACAAAACAGCGCTCTCAACTCCAGGTGGAATGTCAGAAGACTCCCAAGAGTATTTCCTTCCTCGTATTGCTGGTCCATAGCCAGATAATCCTTGTTTACCCTTATAGTTCAAAAGCTCCAACTCTCTTTGATCAAGTCCCAAGGAGATCAATTTTCATATTCTCAAAGAAAAGGCACAGAGTTGTAGCCAGTGATAATTACCTTCATGGAGACCAAGAGCCATAACAACCTTCAGGAGAGACCTACACCCTCCAGCAATAGGAGGACATCAGTGGATGGCAATCAGTTGATCCAAGCTATTAAGAAAGAAGACATTAAGCTGATCCAGCAGTTGCTTGAAGAAGGGGCTGATGCCAACTTCCAGGAAAAGGAATGGGGCTGGTCACCTTTGCATACTGCGGTACAAATCTGTCGGGAGGACATTGTGGATCTTCTGCTTCGTTATGGTGCTGACCCTTTTCTGAAGAAGAAGAATGAGGCTACTTCCTTCATCCTCGCTGGGATTGTGGGAAATGTGAAGCTGCTCAAGCTTTTCCTTTCTAAAGGAGCAGATGTCAATGAGTGTGATGCTAATGGCTTCACAGCTTTCATGGAAGCCGCTGTGAAATGTAGGGTTGAAGCCTTAAGATTCCTGTATGAGAATGGGGCGAATGTGAATTTGAGTCGAAGGACAAAGGAGGATCAAAAGAGGCTTAAAAAAGGAGGGGCCACAGCTCTAATGGATGCTGCCGAATATGGACATGTAGATGTCGTGAAGATCCTCCTTGATGAGATGGGAGCAGATGTCAACGCCTGTGACAATATGGGGAGAAATGCTTTGATTCATGTGTTTAGGAGCTCTGATGGTAGAAACATGGAGGGCATCATTCGCCTTCTGTTGGACCATGGGGCTGATGTCAATGTGAGGGGAGAAAAAGGGAAGACACCCCTGATCCTAGCAGTGGAAAAGAAGCACTTGGGTTTGGTGCAGATGCTTCTGGAACAAGAACATATAGAGGTTGATGACACAGACAGTGAGGGCAATACGGCTCTTTTGTTGGCTGTCCAGTACGGACTAGAGGAAATTGTTAAACTGTTATGCAACAAAGGAGCCAACGTGGACTGTGGGGAGCTGGTTATGATAGCAAGGCGCAATTATGACAGCTCCCTTGCAAGGCTGCTTCTCTCTTATGGGGCCAGAGAAGATTGGTGCCATCCTGCTGAAGACTGGAAGCCTCAGAGTGCCCGCTGGGGGGAGGCCTTGGAACATCTCCGTAGAATATACCGCCCTATGATCGGCAGACTCAAGATCTTTATTGATGATGAATATAAAATTGCTGACACATCCGAAGGGGGCATCTATCTGGGGTTCTATGAAGGGCAAGAAGTAGCTGTGAAACGATTCTATGAAGGCAGCACATGTGGACAACAGGAAGTGTCCTGTCTGCAGAGTAGCCGAACAAACAGTGACTTGGTGACATTCTATGGGAGTGAGAGCTACAGGGACTGTCTGTATGTGTGCCTTGCCCTCTGTGAGCAGACACTGGAAGAGTACTTGGCCAACCACAGAAGGGAGGTGGTGGAAAATGAAGAAGACAGCTTTGCCCGAAACGTCCTCTCATCTGTATTTAAGGCTGTTGAAGAACTACATGTGCTGTGTGGATACACTCACCAGGATCTGCAGCCACGAAACATCTTACTAGGTGAGTCCCCAATTTTCTCTTAGATATTGCAGGGTCTTTATTTACAAAAGGAAAGGATTTTCATTACCGATAGGAAAGGAGTAGAGTAAATGTGGATTATTCAGTTTGAGGATGAATGCGACAGATTCATGATTCTAGTGCTATCTCTCCTGCTACCAGGTATAATCCTTACCCCACATGGAGGTCACAAATGCCAATGGAATACCGAACTAACCTCATATTTCCTTTGGCAAGTACAAGTATGAAGGTATGTCTTTGGATGGAGTCAGCCCCGATATTTGAATTCCTAAGGTAGCCTGCGAGTCAGAGAATCCTGAAGGTGTGTTCCTTCAGGCAGGATGGTAGTCACTGTGAAACTTAATGGCAAAACCAAGGTCAAAATTGGGCATGCCAAGATAAGATGCAACACAGTGAAATAGACTCCAAGTAGACAGAACAAGCCAGCACCCACTGGCCTACACCAAAAACAAAATAAATGAAAACAGCATTAAAGGAAAGAAGCAGAGCTGAGTGTAAAGTCCCAGGAAGCAATGTGGTGCAGTAGAAAGAGTCTTGACTTTAACCACTGTAGGGAGGCTTGCAGCCTAGTCCTGCCAACTTTGTAGCTTCACAGCCTCAAACAAGTCACTTAGGTCTGTGAGCCTTCGTTTCCTCATTTAAGATGGATAATACCTCCTTCCTAAGGTTGTTATGAGGTCTAAATCAGTGTTAGACAGGTTACCTGTATGTTGTAGGTGCTCAGCAAAGGCCAGGTACTTGTCTAGAGGGCTAAGCAGAAACAGACACCCAATCTACAGACGTGCACTGAGAGTTAAGGTAGGTGTAAGAGAATAAGACAAAAAGAGGTTTCAAGGAATTAAAAGGCAGAGAACAGTGTAAGGTCCTGGACAAGACTTGGAAAGAAGTAGGTATACATGAGAATACTACTGGAATATGGCCTTTAGTTTGAGGACAGGTGCTTCCTGGTTTTAAGCAACTTTGTTGGGGAGACTGATATGTGCAGCTCTACAAAGTGAGGCAGAGTCATCTAGAGGCAGCCAAGGGCAGAGTTCTTTCCAGTTCTAACTTCTGATTTTGATGCAAAAGAGGCATATATCATGTTCTAAAGAAAAATTACTGGTTACCACCATTTCTTGGGAATTTCTGGAACCACCTCTTCTATTCTTAAGCTTGAACAATAGAAAGTTGACTATATTTCTGCCTCAAGGTGGTGAACCTAACACATACTACAGACTGTTCCATGTATTAAATCCCTAAAATGATGGGGAAAGATTGTTAAATGAATTCATGGCTGAGATTAAAACAACAAAAGAAGTTTTACAGGACAAAATCTTTGAGGAATCATAAAGAGACTGAACACAATAGGATAGGATTAAAGGACACAGGAGCCCAGGACAAAAGCAGGATGCCACAGCTAAATATAGCTCTTAAAAGTGGGAATAGTGCAAAGAAGTACCACTCAGGAGTAATGGAAGCCAGAAGCAGGAGAGGACAAAAGACCAGCTAACAGGCAGATT